TGTGTGTGTGTGTGTGTGCTCTGTACATAATGGAAAAGGTTCGAACCCGATTGTGCCTGCGACAAGAAATCGTAGACATACTTTTAAGAACCCGGGCATTGTCGCTGAAAACTATACAGGCTACTCAGTTGATCAGCTTCTGTCAAAAGGGAGTAGAACGTCCTATGCATATATCCTTCCTCTTCTGCGTCACGTAAGCGCAGAAAGCGAGTGTTCTGCTGTGTTTAACTTTCCGCACACTTCTTTTCACCTCATCTTTGGGGTCGCGCAAAAAAAAAAGTGAACTTTCAAAACTTCTCTGCTCTTGGCGAATATTCACCTTGTAACTATATCACATCAATATATAATTGATGTTACTACCGATGCTGAAGAATGCTATGAGGCGGATAAATATCGAACTTCCTAAAAATACCATGCACTTGTCCTGGGTGTCCATTGAAAGTACAAAAACTGAGCTGTTGCAAAAGCCGCAAATCACGTCATGATCGTTATGTCATCATCAGTTCTCAATCCAGTATTACGTAATACATTACGTCACTAGATCTACAATCTCAAATTCCGACTCCTGGGGAGTATTTCAATTTCAACCCAGTGAATAGTGATGTGTGTTCTTTGTGTCAGATTGCCAATATCGCACCATCAAACAGTAACAGTAGAAACTAGTGGTAAGCTTGGGATGAACACACACAAATAATGATGTGCGTTCTTTTGTGACAGATTTACAATATCGCACCATCAAACGGTAACAGTAAAAACTAGAGGTAAGCTTGGGATGAACACACACATTAGTGCTATATAATATGGCCTTCGTTAAGAAACTTATCCGAAAGGGTAAGCACAAAGAGAATGGGGCGGCGGTTGAAGCGCTTAGCAAGCCCACATCACTCACGCTATCGACAGCTATAGAGTCATCTAAGTCAGTGCCGGTCATCTCTGTGCCTAAAGCAGAGAGTGATGCCTGTCCTTCAAAGAAGCAATCATCGGGGGTGAGTCGGAAGATTCAATCTAACTTGGAATTACTTGGTGAACACAAATCCGAGAAAACCGACACCTCGTCCCAGAGCACGTTGAAAGATAGCAATCTCCAAACAAGTAGTGAGCAGCTCGAAGCTGCAACCACGGCCAAGTCATCGGAGACTAAGCCTGTTCCTCAACCTACAGATTCTGCGATTAGCAACTCTAAAGCTGAGAAGAATGACGCCCCGCCAAAACTTCCCCCGAGAGATCCGAAGCTACAAGCCAATATGTGAGTGAAAATAAGGTTATGATTAACACAAGCTATCCCAACGCGCTCCTCAGAAACTATCTCTATTTTTTATATTATCTCACGACTAGCAACAGATTTTGTCGATAAGCCACACCCTGGTAGTTTGATGGTTAACACTCGTATTGCATATGATTGCCCATGATTCTCTTCGAAACTCTTCGGATGTTTGGTTTTGAGTGTAGTTGGAAATGATTGTTTATTTAAAAATATTCATATATATATATATATATATATATATATATATATGTGTGTGTGTGTGTGTGTG